TGACCTACCACATGAACAAGGAAGAGGTCACCCTAAGTAAACTCCAAGGTCTCCTAAGGGTTGCTGAGAGCAGCCTCAAGGACAAGTCTGTTGCACCAACTCCTAATCCACCCGTTGCTCCTGTTTTCGCAATTGGGCAAGGAAGGGGCAAGAAGAGGAAGGCTCCGTCTAAGAGCCACCACAAGGGAAAGTCCCGAGATGGTTCCTCTTCTAGTGGGACCAAAGTTGATCCCGCTAAGTCCAACTCTAACCCAAAGGAGGCAGAGTGCCACCATTGCCACAAAATAGCTATCAAGGAAGGAAAGATCAAGCCATCTTTCACAGGTATTTACACAATTAAATCTAATGATTCATCTCATGTTATTTCTTGGGTCCTCGATACCGGATGTGGTTATCACATTTGTTCTGAATTGCAGGGACTAAGAAGAAATAGGGATGTGGAGCATGGAAGAATAAATCTAATCATGGGGAACAGAAGATCGTCACCTGTGACCAAGATTGGAGTGTATTCTTTAGTACTTAGTAATGGATTATGTTTAGATTTGGATAATTGTTGCTACTCGCCATAAATGGCAAGAAACATCATTTCGTTTCATGGTTTGTTTAGACAAGGATTTAGATTTTCTTTTAATAATGAGAATGGTTCTATTTATGCTTATCTAATTGGTATCTTATATTTTGAAGCAATGCCATGTAATGGAATTTATGAAACTGTTATGATTGTAGATAACCTAGGAAATGATGTCTTGTGCATGGATTCTTCCAATAGTATGGATAGAGCATCCTTGTGGCATTATCGTCTTGGACATGTCAACAAGAAGCGCATAGCCCAACTCCAAAAGGATGGAGTGTTGGAGTCATTCGACCTTAGGGAAGATCACACATGCGAATCTTGTTTACTTGGAAAGATGATCAAGTTAACCTTCACTAGCACATGTGAAAGGGGTGAGGGTTTATTGGACCTCATACATACTAATGTGTGTGAACCCTTTAGATCAACCACAAAGGATGGGAACCGCTTCTATGTGACTTTTACCGATGACTATAGTAGATATGGGTATATTTACTTAATCAAGCAAAAGTTAGAAACGTTTGAAAAGTTCAAAGAGTTCAAAAATGAAGTGGAGAATCAATTCGGAAAGAAAATCAAGATGCTTTGATACGATCGAGGAGGAGAGTACCTAAGTCTTAAATTTCATGACTATCTCAAAGAATGTGGAATAGTTTCGCAATTAACGCCACCTAGGACACCACAATTGAATGGTGTGGCAGAAAGGCGTAATCAAACTTTGTTAGACATGGTTCGTTCCATGATGAGTCGTGCTTCACTATCTATCTCATTCTGGGGGTATGCCTTAGAGACTGCCGCCCATATCCTTAACCGAGTCCCTACGAAGAAGGTTACCAAAACACCTCACGAGATGTGGATAGGGAAAGCTCCCTCGTTAGCACATATCAAGGTTTAGGGTCGCGAGGCTTTCGTAAGACAAGATACACACGACAAGCTCGAACCTCGTAGTGAGCGATGTATTCTCATCGGCTACCCGCAGAAATCCTTTGGATATCTCTTCTATAGACCGAGTGACAATGATGTTTTCGTTGTGAGGAGAGGGGTTTTCCGAGAGCAAGAACTCATAAGCCAAGGAGATAGTGGGAGGAAAATCGAGCTTGAAGATATTCAAGAATCGATTGATGAAGGAACCTCTACCGCTGGCAAACAACCCTAGGAGGAAACTCCGGTTGAACCTATTGACCAGTCCTTACCTCTTAGACGTTCCGAAAGAGTTAGAGTTCAACCCCAATTATATGGTTTTCATATTACTACCGAAGGGGACACGTATATTAGTGATAGTACACTAATAAATCTAGATGAACCTAATAGCTTTAAGGAAGCCGCTAGCTATTGCCGCATTTCATGATTATGAGATTTGGCAAATGGATGTCAAGACCGCTTTTCTTAACGGGAAGTTGGCTGAGGATGTTTACATGGCTCAGCCAGAGGGTTTTGTTGATCCGAAGCATCCAAATAGAGTGTGTAAGCTTGAGAAGTCCATTTATGGACTTAAGCAAGCGTCTCGCAGATGGAATCTTTGCTTCGATGAGAAAGTCAAAGAGTTTGGATTTGTACGAAGCGAAGATGAATCATGTGTATATGTCAAAGCCTGTGGGAGCATAGTTAGCTTTCTCGTTTTGTATGTAGATGACATACAACTCATAGGAAACGACATCCCGACTCTGCAGGAGGTTAAGTCTTGGCTCGGAAAGTGTTTCGCTATGAAGGATCTCGGAGAGGCTTCCTATATTTTAGTAATAAGGACAGTGAGAGAAAGAAGTAAGAGACTAATATGACTTAGTCATAACACTTACTTAGATAAAGTACTAAAACGTTTTGGTATGGAAAATTCGAAGAAGGGAGAATTACCGATACAAAGTAATGCCAAGTTGAGTAAGACTCAAAGTCCGAGTACCGAAGCTGAGATAGCAGAAATGAGCCGAGTACCATACGCTTCCGCAGTTGGCTCAATCATGTATGCTATGACTTGTACTCGCCCTGATGTAGCCTTTGCTTTGAGCATGGTTAGTAGATATCAAGGGAACCCTGGCAGAGCACAATGGATTGCGGTCAAGAATATCCTTAAGTACCTTCGGAGGACCAAGTAATGGTTTTTAGTCCTCGGGGGGAGTGATGACTTGAAGGTGCGAGGGTATAGTGACGCCAGTTTTTTGACCGATAGGGACAACTACCATTCACAGTCGGGTTGGGTCTTTACTCTTAATGGAGGAGCAGTAACTTGGAAGAGTTCCAAGAAGGAAACCGTAGCTGATTCAACATGCGAATCAGAGTACATTGCAGCGAGCGAAGCGTCGAAGGAGGTAATATGGTTAAAGAACTTCATTGGTGATCTTGGAGTTGTGCCTGCCATAAAGGAGCCTATGGAAATTTTCTGTGATAATGAAGGAGTCGTTGCCTTGACCAAGGAACCTAGGGATCATGGTAGATCTCGTCATATCGATAGAAAATATCATTTCACTAGACATCGATTAGAAGAAGGACACCTCGTGGTGAGGAGGATATCATCAGAAGATAACCCAGCAGATCCGCTTACGAAGGGACTGAGTAGGGTTAAGCATTTGCAGCATGCTAGGAGTATTGGGCTGAAAGATGATATTAGATTAGATTAGATAGTTTTAGAAACTTATAATAGATAAATGTGATTTAACATTTGATGAATAAATAAATGAGTATTATTTATAAGTAAAGTTACTGTCTTATGTTAAATGTTTAACTATTGTTTCACTTTGCATGTTTTGACTTCCTGAATAATTAAGTTTATTTGGAATAATCGAATTATTCAAACGATCCACAATCGTTCATATGTTGGAAGTAGGTATGAATGAAGATTGTCATGAATTGGTGTGTAGATTTTCTAAATGGTATTAGACATAGCAAAAGTTTGTTGCAACGTTCATGAGTGATTATGAACTAGTTTTGAGCATGGAACAAACTCGCGCTTGCTGGAATCACCTTATGGAATTTGATGAAAAAGGTTGATCGCAAGACGATAATATCATATGGTCTTAAAACCTAGATATATGGCTTGTTATTTGTTAATCGGTTGTACATTGACAATGTGAAACCGCATCAGTAAATTGATGTTATAAAACACATTGTTGTGTATAATTGATTAATGAATAAGTAAATGCATATAAATCGAAGTTTATCTGTTACTTTTATCCTAAGAGGGTAAAAGCGATATCTCGGGTGCTCGATGATTTGATTTGACTTATATGCCAGGCCCGATCAGAACTAAATTGATGTGTTCGATTAAGTTCTATGTAGAATAAATCTGAGATCGAGAAACCAAATGCTGGACAATTGGTTCCATAGAATTGATAGCATGATATCTAAACAGAGGACTGTACGATCCCTTATCTAAAGGACAAAATTGATAAGATCAGAGTTTGACAGTGTCTTTGAGAGCTACGATTGCAAATCGGTATATATAGTTACTACACTTATCCAAGTGGGAGACTTTTGGAATAGTGTCTAAGGCTGCAACTATATTTGGTAAGTACTTCACCCGATTGAGCATGGTCCTTTTGGGTTGTCTTCACCATAGCAACTTGACAGGATGATTTATAATGAGAGAAGAAATATTATTAATATATTATGAGGATAATATAAGGAATAATAATATTATTATTTGATTAATATAAGTCACAAATTAATTAGGAATTAATTTGGTGACTTAAAGAGATTAATTGAATAAAGGGGTATAAACTGTCAATTGTATGATAGTTGTGTTTTGAGCAGTGATTCCTTAGGGATAGGGGTGGACGGATTTTAGGGTTTGGATAAACCTGCAAATCGTCCAAAAAGGAGATTGGATTTCTTAGAGCCTAAGTTATCCAATTAGGGTTTTAAGGGTGAAACCCTAGGAGGCTCACTAGTATAAATACACCCATAGGGTTGAGGAAATCGACACCCTTAGTATTGGAGGAGCCCTGGCCGATTTCTCATTCCTCTTCCATCTCTCTCAAATCATCCTCTTGCTAGTTAGTGTTTGTAAGCCATTAGAGGAGTGACATTTGTGACTCTAACCTCCAAGGACAAGAAGATTCAAGCAAGTAATTCAAGGTACTCATTTAGATCTGATTTCTTATGTTATTATACTAGATCTATCAATCAAAGTATTGGATATATTGCATGTTCAATTAGAGAAACCTAGATCCAAGCATTAGGGTTTGTATGTGCTCATAGGAATGTTCTTATGGCTAAAACCCAACAGTATCACCCAAGGACAAGGGGTAGGTTCACCCACATGACCATCATTAAAGGCTACAGTTCCTTTACAGATTGCCCTTAACCTCATTTTGTTGTTTTTCACAAAGAATATATTCCTTCTTGTTTCCAGTGCATGCAATTGTATCTTTTCCTTTAACTCCTTCTTATTTTTATATTTTTGTCCTATCCTAAAAGTTACCTTGTGTATCTCACCTTAAGAGCACCTAGTCTCCTTCCCCAATTCCTTTATTACAGCTCTTCTTTTCCTATCTATATCAGAACCCTCATCTAATGAATCCCATTGATCATTATCTATAACATCTAACTCTTCATTGACCTCATCACTCTCATTCTCTCTATGCTTTGATAATCCTTTTTCAAGAAATTCTGCTTCAAGATCGATATTCATGTAAAAATCCCTCATATCTACTTCTACATCAGGGATTATGTTGTCTTCATCCACCCAGAAATCACTATCATCACTATCCTCACTCTCATCACTTCTTTCATGATTCTCTTCATCAGTCTCTATGTTATCTTCACTTCCATTATCAACTTCAAAATCTCTCATCTCTACATTCTCATCATTCATTTCATTTCTGTCATGATTCTCTTCATCAGTCTCTTTGTTATCTTTAGTGACTTCCTTATTAACAGTATTTTCCTTACCTTCATGAACCTTATCATCTACATTTTGTTCATTAGAATGTAAAATCTATTGGTACAACCCAATATCAAAGTCATAGTTGCCTCATCAAATTCATTAAATCCCTGGTCAATATCATTACATGCCTCATGAAATTCATTAAAATCCTGGTTAATATCATTACATGCCTCATCAAATTCATTAAATCCGTGATCAAACTCATTAGCTACATCATACTTATTCGCACCAATCCTATCAACACCAACATCATCCATCACCAATTTCTTAATACATGATGACAATGGTTTTCCTTGATAAATTCCCTTTTCTTAGTATATTCAGGGGATATCGACAAGGCTAAAACAGCTTCATTTGCTATCACAGGTGGTATGCATGTTTTTGGCATGCCACTGGGTTGGTTATTAGTTGGGGGGGGTTGATGTTCATCATTCTCCTCTAATTGCTCAATAATAACTTTTCTTATAGGTTTAGGATCCAAAAAGTAAGTAAGCAAGTTAGTAATACCATGTTCGGTGTAAACCCTTATCAGTTTATGCTCCTTCACATATTAGGCAAGATTGAGGACATCTTCATCATTTCCTAGGGCCCGTAGCCCAAAATGCATGTCTCCCTTTGGCACTCGAAAATGATAGTAGATAACTGGAGGAATTGAGTATCCTAACCCTTTCATAATCGCATCCATCTCGTGAATAGAAAACTCTTCTATATCCACCATATCTACGTACGTCACAAATACCCTCAATGTAGTTGACATTTGGAAACTTTGTGAACTCACCTCCATGTTGTAGCTTGATGGTAAACAATGTAGGGTGTCCATCTTCAAAAAAAGAGCAAAAAAAAAAACTTCAGAAGGTATGATTTCTTGTAAGCAAATCAAGAAAATGATCAAAAACAAAATTACGTACCATCAACCACCCTTGGGTCGAATGACGTGCTTGCCAACCTTAAGTTCCACATTGGTATATGCATTCACTACGAAACTCGCCTGATCAAAGCTATCAACCTTTGTAATCAGTTTAGGGTTGTTGATCCTCAGTCAATGAAGAGGGAAATTGTATCGACTCACGGTTTTTAAGGACTATAAATGTGAATTAGGCTCGATATTATCCGTATGGCGATGCATACATCCATTATTAATATAAAATAAGGGGCATAAATAAGGAATGACCAAAATACCCCTGATTTGACTAGTCAAAACATAACTT